GTTGGCTGTATGTCTGAATGGATGTATTTTCTGTTTGTATGGAGTTGATGTAAGTGGTGTGATATAAATTTGTATTTGTGAGTATGAGTAAAATGAGAATGGTTGATTGATAGTAGACAGTGTCAATGCACCTTGATGTTGTCGATCGACTGATCGTACGATATCGGTGTAATTGTGACAGGGTATTTATAATGCAGAGGATGTTATTGATCTTTCTGCGAACCCACTGTCTAAAATTGATGTTATTTTGGGGTGCTGAAGTTGATATGATTTCGGCCTTACCCGTTCGCACACATTCCATGTTCACCGTTAGTTATAGAAAACTGTGATCGTGTTGACAAACCGTGTGCGAAACATGTTTATGTTTCCTGTGTGAGACGTTTGTGATGGACTTGATTGTTGTTGTTATAGTTATATCGTATGATGAGTTTGTTGATGTTGATGTGAAGAGATTGACTGTCGATCTGATTGATTGATTGAATGAATGAATGAATGAATGAATGAGTGAACGAATGAATGAATGAATGAATGAATGTTAGGTGGATTGATGGTTGGCTGTATGGCTGAATGGATGTATTTTCTGTTTGTATGGAGTTGATGTAAGTGGAGTGATATAAATTTGTATTTGTGACTATGAGTAAAATGAGAATGGTTGATTGATAGTAGACAGTGTCAATGCACCTTGATGTTGTCGATCGACTGATCGTACGATATCGGTGTAATTGTGACAGGGTATTTATAATGCAGAGGATGTTATTGATCTTTCTGCGAACCCACTGTCTAAAATTGATGTTATTTTGGGGTGCTGAAGTTGATATGATTTCGGCCTTACCCGTTCGCACACATTCCATGTTCACCGTTAGTTATAGAAAACTGTGATCGTGTTGACAAACCGTGTGCGAAACATGTTTATGTTTCCTGTGTGAGACGTTTGTGACGGACTTGATTGTTGTTGTTATAGTTATATCGTATGACGAGTTTGTTGATGTTGATGTGAAGAGATTGACTGTCGATCTGATAGATTGATTGAATGAATGAATGAATGAATAAATGAACGAACGAACGAATGAATGAATGAATGAATGAATGTTAGGTGGATTGATGGTTGGCTGTATGTCTGAATGGATGTATTTTCTGTTTGTATGGAGTTGATGTAAGTGGTGTGATATAAATTTGTATTTGTGAGTATGAGTAAAATGAGAATGGTTGATTGATAGTAGACAGTGTCAATGCACCTTGATGTTGTCGATCGACTGATCGTACGATATCGGTGTAATTGTGACAGGGTATTTATAATGCAGAGGATGTTATTGATCTTTCTGCGAACCCACTGTCTAAAATTGATGTTATTTTGGGGTGCTGAAGTTGATATGATTTCGGCCTTACCCGTTCGCACACATTCCATGTTCACCGTTAGTTATAGAAAACTGTGATCGTGTTGACAAACCGTGTGCGAAACATGTTTATGTTTCCTGTGTGAGACGTTTGTGATGGACTTGATTGTTGTTGTTATAGTTATATCGTATGACGAGTTTGTTGATGTTGATGTGAAGAGATTGACTGTCGATCTGATTGATTGATTGATTGATTGAATGAATGAATATATGTATGGTGGATGAATGTATGGATGGATTGATGGCTGGCTGGATTTCTTGATAGATGTGTTGATGATTGTTGTTGTTGAATGTTTTTTTTGTGATAATGGTTCTGAGGAGATGGGATAGTATATAGTTGATGTTTTGACGTGAATGTGGGTAAATTGTTGTGATGGTGATTGTTGTTTAGGGTTGCTGTTGTGTGTTTAGAATAGTTGATCGTTGGATGGATTGATGTATGGATGTGTGTATGAATTGGTGTACTTAATCGTGCACGATGTATTTGCTGTTTGTATGGAGTTGATGTAAGTAGAGTGATATAAATTTGTATTTGTGAGTATGAGTAAAATGAGAATGGTTGATTGATAGTAGACAGTGTCAGTGCACCTTGATGTTGTCGATCGACTGATCGTACGATATCGGTGTAATTGTGACAGGGTATTTATAATGCAGAGGATGTTGTTGATCTTTCTGCGAACCCACTGTCTAAAATTGATGTTATTTTGGGGTGCTGAAGTTGATATGATTTCGGCCTTACCCGTTCGCACACATTCCATGTTCACCGTTAGTTATAGAAAACTGTGATCGTGTTGACAAACCGTGTGCGAAACATGTTTATGTTTCCTGTGTGAGACGTTTGTGACGGACTTGATTGTTGTTGTTATAGTTATATCGTATGACGAGTTTGTTGATGTTGATGTGAAGAGATTGACTGTCGATCTGATAGATTGATTGAATGAATGAATGAATGAATGAATGAATGAACGAACGAACGAATGAATGAATGAATGTTAGGTGGATTGATGTTTGGCTGTATGTCTGAATGGATGTATTTTCTGTTTGTATGGAGTTGATGTAAGTGGTGTGATATAAATTTGTATTTGTGAGTATGAGTAAAATGAGAATGGTTGATTGATAGTAGACAGTGTCAATGCACCTTGATGTTGTCGATCGACTGATCGTACGATATCGGTGTAATTGTGACAGGGTATTTATAATGCAGAGGATGTTATTGATCTTTCTGCGAACCCACTGTCTAAAATTGATGTTATTTTGGGGTGCTGAAGTTGATATGATTTCGGCCTTACCCGTTCGCACACATTCCATGTTCACCGTTAGTTATAGAAAACTGTGATCGTGTTGACAAACCGTGTGCGAAACATGTTTATGTTTCCTGTGTGAGACGTTTGTGATGGACTTGATTGTTGTTGTTATAGTTATATCGTATGATGAGTTTGTTGATGTTGATGTGAAGAGATTGACTGTCGATCTGATTGATTGATTGATTGAATGAATGAATGAATGAATGAATGAGTGAATGAATGAATGAATGAACGAATGAATGAATGAATGAATGAATGAATGTTAGGTGGATTGATGGTTGGCTGTATGTCTGAATGGATGTATTTTCTGTTTGTATGGAGTTGATGTAAGTGGAGTGATATAAATTTGTATTTGTGACTATGAGTAAAATGAGAATGGTTGATTGATAGTAGACAGTGTCAATGCACCTTGATGTTGTCGATCGACTGATCGTACGATATCGGTGTAATTGTGACAGGGTATTTATAATGCAGAGGATGTTGTTGATCTTTCTGCGAACCCACTGTCTAAAATTGATGTTATTTTGGGGTGCTGAAGTTGATATGATTTCGGCCTTACCCGTTCGCACACATTCCATGTTCACCGTTAGTTATAGAAAACTGTGATCGTGTTGACAAACCGTGTGCGAAACATGTTTATGTTTCCTGTGTGAGACGTTTGTGATGGACTTGATTGTTGTTGTTATAGTTATATCGTATGATGAGTTTGTTGATGTTGATGTGAAGAGATTGACTGTCGATCTGATTGATTGATTGATTGATTGAATGAATGAATATATGTATGGTGGATGAACGTATGGATGGATTGATGGCTGGCTGGATTTCTTGATAGATGTGTTGATGATTGTTGTTGTTGAATGTTTTTTTTGTGATAATGGTTCTGAGGAGATGGGATAGTATATAGTTGATGTTTTGACGTGAATGTGGGTAAATTGTTGTGATGGTGATTGTTGTTTAGGGTTGCTGTTGTGTGTTTAGAATAGTTGATCGTTGGATGGATTGATGTATGGATGTGTGTATGAATTGGTGTACTTAATCGTGCACGATGTATTTGCTGTTTGTATGGAGTTGATGTAAGTAGAGTGATATAAATTTGTATTTGTGAGTATGAGTAAAATGAGAATGGTTGATTGATAGTAGACAGTGTCAGTGCACCTTGATGTTGTCGATCGACTGATCGTACGATATCGGTGTAATTGTGACAGGGTATTTATAATGCAGAGGATGTTGTTGATCTTTCTGCGAACCCACTGTCTAAAATTGATGTTATTTTGGGGTGCTGAAGTTGATATGATTTCGGCCTTACCCGTTCGCACACATTCCATGTTCACCGTTAGTTATAGAAAACTGTGATCGTGTTGACAAACCGTGTGCGAAACATGTTTATGTTTCCTGTGTGAGACGTTTGTGATGGACTTGATTGTTGTTGTTATAGTTATATCGTATGATGAGTTTGTTGATGTTGATGTGAAGAGATTGACTGTCGATCTGATTGATTGATTGATTGATTGAATGAATGAATGTATGTATGGTGGATGAATGTATGGATGGATTGATGGCTGGCTGGATTTCTTGATAGATGTGTTGATGATTGTTGTTGTTGAATGTTTTTTTTGTGATAATGGTTCTGAGGAGATGGGATAGTATATAGTTGATGTTTTGACGTGAATGTGGGTAAATTGTTGTGATGGTGATTGTTGTTTAGGTTTGCTGTTGTGTGTTTAGAATAGTTGATCGTTGGATGGATTGATGTATGGATGTATGTATGGTTTTTTGGACTTACTGATTAGTTTGTGTTTGGTGTTTTTGGAACTTGTAATTATATTGTTTTTTTACGCTGTAAGTTGCTGTGTTTATCGCTGATGGGAAGCCTATTCTGATAAATGGGTTTCGTGGTTTTGTCGTTTGTAATTAACATTTTAGCGGTTTCACAATTGGTTTGTGCGTTTATTTTTCTGTTAGCTTTCGTCTGTTTGTCATTTTTTTGTCGTGTGATGTTTTTTCTCTATTGTATTTCTTGAATGTTTGTTTCGGCGTTTTTGTCGCTTTCATTTTTGTTGTTTTCGAAGCGTTTGCTTACTAACGAATTTTCGTCCATAGACATTTGTCGTTTTTGTTGTTTCTTAAAGTTTATCATGTCAGTTTTTTTTTCTTGTTCTCATCGTTATTTTTACTGCTGTGTGACATTCTTTTTACCGATTATTCACTACATTTCTCTCGCTTATTACGTTTACTTTTCGTTACCTTGTTTTCCTGTGATTGTTTTTTGTGGTTTTCATTGCTTTCTTTCTTTTAATGTTAGGAAATTGTTCATGCCAATCCTAGGTTTCATGGTGTTCTTATAGGCCGACACGCATCGAATATAACGCAGTTTCGTCGCCGTCATAATGTTGAATTGGTGTTCCCTGATCGTTTTGAATCTGACCCGAAATTGGCTTGTGAAATCCGAATTGTTGGTACGAAATCTGCGGTGTCGGAAGCGAAACGTGAATTAGAAAATGTTTTAAAATCTTTGGTAATTATACACTATTATCGATTTTAATCTGCATTTATTGTGAATACTAATGTTTTTTCTTACGAGAATCACTTTGTTGCTTTTATAAGTGGTTATTCTTATGAAATGAATTGTAGAGATAAACCGTTTTCTGTTTTTAGATCCTCCTTATGTTTGGAAAAATCTGATGTGATTGGTCAAAGTGTGAAGGTCTACACATTTTGCTGTCGTAAATCTTGCAGACTGTTACTTTTAGTGTAGATTTACTTTGTGTTGACCGCTTGTAATTGATTTCATTAAACTGTTGGTCTGGCTGATAATCTGTTTCTCAGTCATTGGTTGGACCCTGTATATCTGAGTTCACATAATCATTTATGGTATTCTATTGCCTAATGTATCGATCAAGGACCGATCTAGCGATCTCGTGCCTGATCGTATGTCTCCATTGACCTCAAATGCCCTGGTACGGTCGAGAGTGTGGAGAGTCCGCTCTTCCTCTCGAAATGCTCTCACGTGGCCACGCGTATATAGCCTCTGTCAGGGAAGTCCTACTCACTGCCTTCTCGTGGCGGGGGTGTTTACGAAATTGAGAGAATGTAAAGCGAATGTCCGGCTCTTTAACCGGGTTGGTGGACATGCCGGGTCCTCCTAGGGGAGTTGGAAAACCCTGATTCCAAACCAATGGTGCACATCGGTTCCAGGATCCTAAGGAAACAAATGGCGTATGAACCAATCGTTGGTCACTTGCTACCATGGGACTGCATCTCCTTAAGATGCTCCACTGCCTTGTGATCAGACGTTCAGGTCGAAGGCTCCTGGTTTGGGCATCCGAGCAGTATCACAGCCCTCACACATATCAAATGAGATTTATGTGGCGCATATGTATCTGGTACCCTCTTGTACCAATATCTATGTGTTAAATAAAATAAAATAAATGTATTGTCAATTATCGTATTATCTCTCATCTTTTATCCGATGATAGGATTGAATATCTCTTATACCACTACTACACTTGGTCGTTACAGTTTCAAAATTACTATCATTTGTCTTATTTCATACTTAGTTGGGTTATCATTGTAAACTGCATTACATGAAATCAATTATACATTAGATATTTTAGTCTGTATTGTGAAATTTCCATTAAATTTCTTTAATTGTAATTAATGGGTATGGGAATTCTATCAGCTCTTTTTTCATAACTCCAGTATGGAAGATAGACATGGTCGCACTCTTATTCAGTCTCCTCTCCGGAGATTTAGTTCTTCCCGGGAAAAGTAAAATCAGTTACTGACTGTATACGGCTTAACATGTGATAGCATTTAAACTCAATTTCAGGGGCAGAGAAATGTTACCACTGACCTAATCAAGCTCTGAATAACCTAAATTAGATAATCTCATTTACGAGGTACGAGTTTTTGTACTTGATTTTGAGCCACAATCAAAGTGTAGAAGCTATTCAGACTTACCAGTTGCAGAAAACGTAGTAGGTGGCATGAAGTTCGGATCTGAGACTTATTGGCTGTAAATCGAATCCCCATGCAATTAACTACCGCTTTATGCAAAGCATTCAATGCTCACGGGCATGTTCAAACACGTTTAATGTGAAACCAAACCTTTTAAATTACTATATCATTGTGTACTATTTCATTTCCGTATCTTTTTTATAGGAAGATGAAGTGGAAAAATCGATTCCAGTTGATCCATCTATATTGAAAGGAATTAACCAGTATCGTCGTAATTTCCCCAATCCCGATTTACAAACTGTCCGTGTAATAATGCCCCGTTACAATAATCATATACAATCCAATCCGGAAAATTCAACTGAACATTCCACTGAACCTTTGTATATTAAATTAATTGGCTCTAAAGCTTGTGTTGAAGTATGTTTGTGTGTGTGTATTATTTAAATATGTATCACACCGTACAACTCTTATTTTTAAATAAGAACTTTCGTCTAAATATGATCGAATAGTTTCACAGTATTTGGGCGCCGAGTTAATCTGAGACATTAAAGAGTAAGAATTTATTTGTAAAACCTCAGAGATTTTACAAATAAGTTCTTTCTCTTTAATGTCTTGTTTTTAGTTCATATATTGTAGGTCTTTTTTCTAACAATAATAATTTACAACAAATTTTTTATATTCCAACATGCTGAACAGTTCACAACCAGTTATATATTGCTTTTACAATCATTATTTTTTGTAGTTTATATCACGGACTGATCTTAGTTAAAAACTTGGAAACACTAAACGGACGTCTCATCTTAGTGTAAGACAGGCCCCGAAATGCCCCGGTATGGTTGATATCGACTATAGTTCCCTCCTTTTATATGGCCACACGTTTATAGTGATTGCCAGGGAAGTCCTCCAGAGTACCTTCTCGCGGTGGGGGTATTGTTTACGAAATCAAGAAAACGAAAAATGAATATCTGGCGTTTAGACCGGGTGGGTGGGTATGGAGGAACAACCTAGGATAGTTGAAGCCCTGATTCCAAACCAATGCACTCAATGATCCTGAGGGAACAAGTGAACCTATTCTTGGTCACTGTCTACCGTGGGACTGCATCTTCTAACATTGCTCCACTGCCTTATGGATTAGACCCGGGTCAATGCTTGGGGAACGGCCCTCCAAGGAAACTACCTGTTTCTTTTCTGACATCCAGTCAGTATCCCAACCCACATACAGATTCAGTGATTTATGTAGAGCGTATTTGTTTTGGTGCTTCTTTGTGTCAACGTTTATGCGTCTATATAAATAAATAATTTTAGTTGCTCGTAATTCTCTACGGATTACTAAACTTATTATATATATAAATTATTGTTGACAGTGAGTAGATTAATTTAGTTAGTTTTGCAACAGTACTCTCTCTTTTTCAATTTATATTCAATTGAGGTAATTACATTAAGTGTAAGGCTCGTCATCAGAGCACATCCACAACCCTGACCCAAGAAATCAAACCCAGGACCTTCGGTCTCGCACGCGAACGTTCAACTTTATTTTTTGTCCCATCAGCTGGATAAACAAGTAAGGTGTAGGAAGGGTGAGGAAAAAAGATATTGCAGTAAATTTTCATTTACTTGCTATTAAATTTAATGACAAACAGGTCGATTAAGAGTTATTTTTCTTATCTTTGGTATCGATTCCTCTAAGCGATCCGTTACTTTTGACACTAATGACTTATTTTTAAGCTATATTAGTTGTCTTTAGAATTTTCGCAAACTTTGAAGTAAAGCCTCGATCGTATTATCACCTTGTAATTTATTGAATATTTAGTATTTAAAGAATTATCGAAGGCATACGATGCTTAAACATACTATACTTCATAGTGCATTTATTATGTCCCTAATACTACTCTGACATTTGTCTTGATAATTTCATTTCGCCATATTGATATGGAGTCACATACATCGCCACATACATCCTAGGTCTAACGTTTCTTATGATTGACTAAATGATTTATGTATCAACTCTTGTCCAAATAAATGTAAATATATATTTTTCGATATTTTCTTTTCTAATTAATAAAATAAAAGACTGCAGCTCAAATTTTGCAACAAATTATCAAAGATATGCAAGAACAAATAGTTCAAGAATTTCCTTTCACTGATCCTAGTCATATTTCTGTATTGGAACGTAATCGTTCGCATCTGCCGGAACTCGAACGATTATATAGAGTGCAGATTAGATTTAGTCGTTCATTTGATAATTCTGACTTCGATAGTTATTCAACATTTGATGAGAGATCAGTTAATCAATCAGGTAAATGTTTATAATTTGTAATTTTGTTCTAATTCGTTTTTCTTTTCTTCTTAAATGAAACCCTCTATAAGTAATAATAATAATAATAATAATAATAATAATAATAATAATAATAATAATAATAATAATAATAATAATAATAATAATAATAATAATAATAATAATAATAATAATAATAATAATAATAATAATAATAATAATAATAATAATAATAATAATAACGCCTCGATCTTTCACCGTCTTTCCTTCTCTGTGTCAACATAACCATGTGATTATTAAAAAGAATACTAGGTTAAATACTAGTTTAATTCCACATTGGATGGTCACCAAGTAATGACCATTGTCATGTTTTCCTAGTAATTAGTGCTGCTCGAGTTGCAACTGGATCAATAGAATTCGATTAGCACTAAGGAAAAGGTAAGCATGACTTTGACCACTACTTGTTGATTATTCAGTTGTAAATTCCTCAGTCGTACAGGAGTTCAGTCTCTGTCTATATAGTACAGAAGGTTATATGTCAGCGTGTTGGAGTGGATGATGATGCGAGTTCGCATCTCACAAAGAACATTAGTTCCCTAAAGATGACAACTATTTCGAAACCTAGCTCAAACAAAGTTTTCTATCTATTAATTTCATACACTCAACATATTTCAATTCTTCTTAGATAAAATTACAAATAAGTGTGATGCCAAACTAAGCAATCTGAAGTAGTAGAAATAATAAATAGTCATAATCAATTATCAATTGGATTTAAAACAATGAATTATAAGTTCAAATTGTTTCTCATCTATTTTAATTTGAACAGTTGAGTCTCAGAGTTGAGTTCATGAATCAGTCATTGTTTGTTGGGTTACTTAATATTTCTTAAAAAAGAAATAAATACCAAATTTGTTTAGTGTGTTTCCATTGTCTATTGATTACTGCAACGTGTTCAAGTAGTTACAGCTTATGTAGTTGTATTCCTCGTATGACGTGCATATCAGTATATGTCATACATTTACTTTATAGAAGTTGGAAAGAAGTTAGAGGTGGTCAAACCAATACTTGACATGAGTTCGGGGGATAAGTCTACTTCCCATTGCGTCCAAGCTATTGACTTCCGTCAGACTTCGTAGGTTGTTCAAAACCTGAGAAAGATTGACTCGCGGGGAGCAGGCGGGTTTTCTTTCTGGTCGAGAGTGTATTGATCATGTCTTCACCCTCCGCCAAATGTTAGAACACCGCCATATTTATCATAGGCCAACAGTCGTAGTGTTTCTTGACATCAGGGCTGCCTTCGATTAGTTGGACAGGACTGTTCTCTGGGATTGTCTATTGAAGAAGGGTGTGCCTGAGAAGTTTATAAACATCTTAAAAGCTTTATATACAAACACTTTAGGCAGAGTGAGGGCATACAACCACCTCTCTCCATTGTTCCATTCGAGCAGTGAGGTTAGGCAGGGTTGCCCAATCTCACCATTCCTCTTCAACTTTGCCGTCGATGACATTCTGGAAACAGCTCTGATGGATGTAAGTAATGGTGGTATGGATCTGTTGCCTGGAGAAAGACTTCTCGACCTTGAGTATGCGGACGATATTGTCTTACTGTGCGATAATGCCCAAGGCATGCAATCCGCACTTAATCAGTTGGCAATCAGTGTCCGTAGGTATAGTATGTGCTTTGCACCTTCGAAGTGCAAAGTACTTCTACAAGACTGGCAGGATTGTAATCCTGTACTCACCGTGGATGGTGAGCAGATAGAAGTAGTCGAGAAGTTCGCGTATCTAGGTTGCTGCATAAGTGCTGGTGGTGGCGTGAGTGATGAGATCAATGCATGTATAGTGAAAGCCAGAGCGGCTTATGCCAATCTGAGCCATCTTTGACGCCTTCGTGATGTTAGTCTGGCTGTCAAAGGTCGGATCTACAACGCGTCGGTGAGAGCAGTTTCGCTCTATGCTTGTGAAACATGGCCTCTCTGAGTTGAGGACGTTAGACGACTCTCTGTGTTTGATCATCGTTGTCTCTGAAGGATTACTGCCATCCAGTGGCAGAGGTTCGGCATCGTGTGTTCGGGCGCAGAGACGATAATTCAATCGACGTCACTATCTTGAAACATCGAATTCGATGGCTTGGATATGTTCTACAAATATCGTCCCAGAGAATTCCACGTCGTGCATTATTTGCCGACGCTGGGGCTGGTTGGAAAAAGTGGAGAGGTGGTCAGTGTTTGACATGTTGTCATGGTATGAAAGAAAGCTGTACCGGACTTGGTTCTATTGATCCTTCACGATTCCCTAGTTGGGGTCTTAAAGATAGTGCAACACAGTAGCTAGAGACGTTATCAGATATGGCTCAGAATTGAAGCCAGTGGCGATCCTGCTGTAACTTTATTTTACTTTCTTCATAAAAAATGGACGTAACTTCTTTGACTGGGAGAATTCTTGCTGGTTGTAACTTTGTTAATTGAACTGCTTTTTCCAATTTTATTATTATTTCACTCTCATACACTAATTTATGTTCGTTATTGTTCCCCTTTTTTTCTTATGCATACCTTACATTCTCTATCTCTTTCATATTCTCAGTGTTGTTGTGTGGCGCATATGTATTTGGTGTCCCTTTGTACCAATGCTTCTTTCATTTTCAATGATTGTTTAATTCATATGTAAAGTTCATAATTTAAAAACTTCAACAAATCTCCCTACACTAATGATTTTATTATTGATGTGCTATCAGTACATAACTGATTATATATATATCTGGCATTAGTGACTCACAAGCTTAAACATAACTATCAACTTACTGTTTAGTGTTTATCTTGTGGTTTGATCATCAAGAATGTTGTAAAAGTATAAATCATAGAACGCTTAAAACGTCTTTAAATACTGTGAGGATGAGATTAGGAACGCGTCTAGAGGTTTTACGTTCTCCAATTTGATTGATTCACTCATAGAGCTCTCATTTTGTAGCTTTTCAAACAACTTCAGGATGTAGTTGGAATTGATATATCCGAAAACGAACGACTTGATTATTTCATTTCTAATTCATTCATCTTAATTAGGAAATTTCTTTTCTATTCATCATATGAACATAGTTACTTTAAGCTGTATCTCAGTGGTTAAAGATCTCAATTTTCAGTTATTTAATTTAGGGTTCGAGCCTTACTCCGCCTGATACAGTCTTGTCACTTGAGAATTATCTGTACCCTGGTTGATGAGTTGATAATAGTCTAAGTAATAAATTTATAAAGTACGTAATATTTTTTGGTTTTATGCAACGTTTTCACACTATTATACACCAATCGACCATCAATCAAAGTAATTGATTGTTCTCATTTTAATTACTTCTTTTTTTTAATTTGATCCTTTTATCAGAGTTCCACCCTGTTTCTGGCATTCTTGTGATAACAGGCGTACAAGAACGTATTAATCAGGTATTTGAAGAAGGCATAAAACCTCTCCTACCAATTGAAGAAACATTCCCAGTTCCTCAGGAATTTCATCGTAATTTAATAGTTACTTCATCAGATACAACAACACGTGAGCAGTCACGTCGTTCATTGCGTGGCAATAATAATAATAATAATAGTAATAGTAATAGTAATAAACGGAATAATAATGTGTCTGAACAAGTGACAAATACAACTGCAGAAACTTTATCTAAAGCTATGGAAATTAAACAAAAGCATTCTGTATGTTTAATCTTTATTAAATCTTAAGTGTACGAATTACTGAATAGTTCATTATTATATTTGCTTAGTCTTTGTTATTTCTGCGTTGCCTCTCTTAATGCACGTGTCGAATCTTTTTATGTCCACAATTTTGCTGCTTTTATTTGACAATCGGGAACCACCTCAGTTCTCATGAGGCAAAGTGAAAACACAAAAGACTAGTATAATGGAAATTTATTGGTTCTTTAAGAACACGTACTTAATAATATCACATATAATGGGAAATACATAGTTACTGTTTTAAAAAAAAAGTCACACTGAATTAATATGGAGAACATAGTTGTCACACTGAACGAAAGTTCACACTTGTCGCATTGAATGAAGTTCACATTGAATTGATACAAGAAATGTTAACCTTAGAACGTCACACTGAACAAAGTTCATAAAGAATTTATACAAAAAATATAAATTTAAATAATGTCATCGTTTTATCTCGTCATATCAGTCTTCGATATTGATTGTATTCTATCGATCAAGTTGAACTGTGGCTGCTAGTCTAATTGACTTGATACTATATTCAGCATGTTTATTTTTGGTAGCTAGGAAGATCTGAACTTAGGTCAGCTGCAATACGGTTGTGACAACGAGTGTTTGAATATCACAGGAAGTCTTCGTTTTCTGAAGTTTTCAGGTGCTGTTCACTTTCGTGTGTGTTAACTAACACAAATCTTAGATTCAGGGTTTCGTGTTGATCTTTTCTAACCACCTAAAAAAATGACTCATTCTAATTTTCTAACGTTCATTCTTTTATGATAGCACAAATAAAATGTCTGAGGTTATCGACCTGATAAATTGTTGACTGATCAAATGATTGGTTTTCGACTGAGTGATCATTGAGAAACAGAACCAGTGCCCAACATATTGAATACTCTATAAATGATTTAAATTTTTGTACAAGAAATATTCAGTCAAAGTGGTGTGACTTTTTACATTATTCACTTTATCAGGTTAAGTAAACGATTGAATAAATAGTTCAAATATGAAGATCTTAAACTCATCATCTGTAGTTCTGCTTGTCCTATCACATAATATAAATGAAGTACACGGTTGAATGAGTGTGATCAGATTCTTCTATTCAAATTGATCAAAAAATTTAGTAATTAGGTGTTAGACGATTTTCATTTTTGTTTAAATGCGTCATTTTAATCAGCCTGTTTATTGTAAGTTGAATAGTGGAATTGTAGGTGGATTAAAAATTGCATATCGCCATGAGAAACTACTTACACACATTGTTAGTAGTATCAACGAGCATTGATCCCAATCTGTAGATAATTCTCATTATTATCTTATAGTATATAATCCATTGAATTTCGAAGATATTTTTATGAGGGAATGCTAAGTAATTTCAAAGAATATTTTCCAGTAAGTTATGATGAAAATTGTATTGCTTTAATGTAAACGTGTCGTCTTTATACATTCTAATGTTGACATATTCAAACAAATAATTAGTATTTACAGATTCAGTCATCTTAATGTTTTTATTTTCTTATAGGTTAATATACGTCTGCCACCTCAACATACTTCTGGTTCCGACTACATTTTTTTACGTGGTACACCAGCGAATATAGAAGCAGCTAAAGCTGATCTAACCGAATGGTTACAACAATGTGAACTAATAAAAGCGGATAAAATTGCACGAAGTTATGAAACAGTTGTAGAATTTCCCTTTAGGTTCTTATCAAGTATTCTTAGCATGAGAGCTGATCTCTACTCTAAACATGATGTTGGTATTCGTGTAGACACTGGTAGTAGTAGTAATAATAATAGTAGTTCAGTAGTTCTAAAACCATTACCACCATCATTGTCGTCAATGCCAGAACATTCATCAGTTGACAACAATACTACTGACATCAGCGATGATATTACTTTCTGTAGTATTTCAAAACCTACAGTAGAAGACAATAGCAATAATGATAATGACAATAATGAGAGTGATGAATTATCGTCGACAGGATTACCTAAAGAGAAACAAGCAAAAATAATTCTACGTGGTTATCAGGAAAATGTATCTGCAGCGAAAATTGAACTCGAGAATACTATTAACAAATTATTAGCTGAAGTCACTGAGAATTTATTCATTCCTGTAGAGGTAAATATTTGTGTGTTATATAAAAAATTTTTGGTGATTGCTGTCTGATGTTAGAATATTAAAATTCCCAAGCGTATTATTGTAAAGAAGGGATCAGGTACTTATAAACCTTTTAGTTACACGTCCGAATCTCCTAACACCATCTATACTTTTATATGGATAGCTTATTGTTAGTGATATCCATTAGTTCCATATAAAAAATCCCAGGGTAACATATTTTCACTTGTACCTGTAAAGTAATAATAAATAGATGTTGAAAATAAGCAACCCGACATGAGTAACAACTATAGAAACTGATTATTAGCAACCTATTCGGTCAGTTATGATTAATGTCGAGCTAGACACAGATGTGCTTAGGCCCAGATTGCCATACCGCATTAGCATGATGAGATGAAAGTAATCTATTGTATTACAGAAGAGATTGGAATGTTGTGGTAGAGATGACAATTAAAGAAAACTAAGCCGTAAGAATATGGTTCGATAAGACATGGTGGGAAAGTATAAAGGGATATTGGAGTTCGAGGTCGAGAGGAAGATGCACGCATCTACGCCATTGTAAGCGATCCTGAACTATATCACTCAAAGTCAACAGAGACTGATTGCGGTTATTATGGGGACTACTTCAATCAGGTAGTTTAAACTAACCTATGCAACTGTTATATCCGCGATTTTCAACTGTTATATTGTTTTTACATGAAGTAAAAACACAAAATTCTGGTACAAGCGAAAATGTATTCACTGAAAAGCACAATAACCCTAGCCGAAAATACACCCGTTTATATGTTGAGTTTTATATCCACTTGATTATTAATTAGAAAATGTCACATCTATGCAGAATACCAGAATTAGAACAAAGCCACATTTTGTTTATTGTGCTTAGTATAGTTCACGTTAATTTTATACGAAAACTATCATATTGGCTAGAAATCACACTGAAAATAAAGCGAATATGATTTACAGCAGTTATCACCTAGAACTTTAGTTCATATTTATCATGTTGAACAAAGTTTGTACTGAATTGATTCAAGAATTATTGATGTTAATGATATCATATTATTATCTTGTCATATCAACTGATCAGTCTAACAGTCACTATCTGCATGGACTGATAACATGTCTTAGTTTGGTCATCCCTATCTTTCTTTGAACCTATTCCTACATCAGCAGACGTTGTCTGTTGAGTTACACGGTGACTAGGCTTACGTAACACATGTCCTAACTACCTCATTCGATGAAGATTCATCAACTCGCCAACTAATTTATCACTTTTTCCTAGTACTCTTCACCTAACATCAACATTACTCACTTCAAAGACACCTGCATTCAGAAACCTGTCGGCTACGCATGATTTCTACTTTCAAAGGTCATGTTTTACGCGGTCGAATCCGCCAGGGAGCACCAGTTCCCTCAAGATTGCAAGTGTCGATTAACACCAAAATCCTAGGTTCAGGGTTCCTTGTCGGCTACCTCCAACTACCTAATATTGTAAATTTGGAATGCTACAAAGTAATGAAAGTTTTATTTGAGTATAGCCTTTTAAAAAAATCTATTTTTAACATTTAGACACATGCTCGACTGATCGGTGCTAGAGGTAATGCTATTCAAAAAGTCATGCGAGACTACAATGTACGCATTGAATTCCCTAGTAGACGAAATATCAATAGCGCCAATGGAGACGGTAATACAGTATTAGTAACGGGTGCACCAGAAAATGTTGATCAGGCATGTGATTATTTGATTTCCAAAGCAAATGAATTTGTAAGTTTAATTTTTCTGTTGTTTTTTTTCATTGAAACATTTTACTCATGTCAATCAACATGTGTGATTTTATCGAATTAAGAATTAAAATTGATTTTTATGCTTTAATAATTCTGTGATAATGAAAGGAAATTTCTCGATAAATAACGTAAAAGAATGTTACTGATCAGTTAATACCCATTTCATATAGTGTAGTCATATTATATTAATATCAAATTATGTTGAAAAGTGTTTATTTGTTCTTCAATTTTCCTTGGATTTCTGTAGCTTAATAAACTATCTGAAATTAATCAGTCATATGCAACATAGAATCTGGCACGTATATATGTATTGCCAAACTATGTTCTTAGAGAGAGATGAAATTATCTAGGTAAATCTCAGTGTAGTGGAAGTAATGACGGTATCAGTAATCGTAGACAAAGTTAGATAATGGTATTAGATTTAATGATTCATGATCTAGGCAAAGAGATACACTTTTTCTGTGCGCAAATTATATATTTATATATGATTGGTCTTAGTTTCATGGGTCTTTTCTTTGAAGGGGAGTTGATGTATTTGTGTATGTGGGCTTTCTTTGCTTTATGTTTCATCCGTAGAATTCATGTATTCCACCTTGTCTCCCTCTCCTTCATGTTTTAATGTAACCTTTTCAGGTTAAATTATGGAATCCAGTTGTATTTTGCCTTGTTTTTAATCACTTTTGAATGAACTTCCATTTTTACATTCAACATTAGTAACCACCGGCATTCATTTATTTTTTATTTTGTGCGAAGAAGCTATTCTACTTGGCTTTGGCAGTCATTCATATATCTTTTTTTAATCAGTTTTATATGTAATGTGCTTAGTTAGTTTTATTCCTTTTAGAATTCATTTTTGGTATAAATAAACAAATTTTGTGGTTTTGTGAAAATTTTATGCACCTCAAGGATAGTTCTCATCATTAACTAACAGATGTCAAGATGGAATAATCATTGAAGATAACAAACGTTGTCATAGTCTCCGCGACTTCTACATCAGTGGTGCATCATCACACATCGACCTCTACACATGAGATCACAGCAGTAATCTTCAATTGCCATATCCAACTCAGTGGACCAGTAAGGATATTGTATTGGAACCCAAATGACTTCACATTTTACAGTTTTATTGTTCTGTGATATACCACAATTTCCATTTAACATCTTAAGAAATGCATAGTTATTTAATTATCCACTAAGTTGACCATCTATAAAATCATGGCTTTTCATCAGAACATCGAAAAATTTATCTGTAAGCAAATACTGTAAGTTTTTGTTCTAGGATTAGTCAATAACGTCCTGAACTACTACTACTTACTACCTGAGCTTTATCTCAATAGTAATATAGGTAATGTCAATATTTTGTGTGCAATAAAAATTACATTCAAATTATTACTTACTGTTAGCTTACAGAGATGGATTTAGCAAAGTTAACTAATATTTTGTTGTTAGTGCATACAAAGATTGGATTTTCTACTTGCTAATTCCCTCTCTTTTTGATTGCATTTTCATAACGAATAAAGATTGCGCAAAGTGGATTGTCCAATACTAGGCAACGATTGTTTGAAGAAGAAATTTAAACATCTATGTGGTTATTGGCGGCAATATGTGCTGTTATTTTTCGTTTGTATACCCTGAACACGGAGTTGGATACATTCATTGTTATTGTTAGTTGTCGTCACACCATCTTTTTGTCTACACTCAATAAATAAATTGGTTTCCTTGGACAGGAATCACTAAATCACAAAAAAGTGTATTGTGTGCCTTAATCTTCTGATTTTTTTTATTGATGAAATAAACCATTTATTTTTCATTTGATATATATATATATATTTATGTATTTGTGTCTGTTTGTTAGTTTTCTTGTCTTCGGCACAATCTCTCTCTTTCCTCCCTTTTTTCTTTGATAAAACCTGACCAATTTTTTCACTATTCCCTCTATGTAATCGATCATTACACACATGAATAAGGTTTTGTTATTGCATGGACGATATTGTTATGTTCTCATCCACTATTTAATTGATTGCATATATGGATGATGAAATTACAAACTACAATAAAAATAAACAAACAAATGACTTTCTTTGTGCTCTGCGTGTGTTCATCTTTTTATTTCTCTATTCATTTATTATCAATCTAGAAAATTACATAACTAACCGATCAATTGGTAGTAAACCTGTACTAAAAAATTCACACGTATATACATGAATTTCTGTGAAGACAATGCGATATTTTGTTCCGTTGAGACTGTCGGTGTTTATTCTTTCCCGTACTGTTTTGATTTACATTATAATATTACTCTCTCACTGTCTCTGATAAACACACTTTTCTTTCGAATCCCAATTAAAACAAAACACAACAAATATTCACTAAAAAGAAAATGGTAATAAGGAATAAAACAAAATACTTTGGATGATTTTCTTTCTAAAAAAAAACGACTTTGAACAACAATAACAAAACGACAGCATGTGGAATTTGTCTCATTTTATTTAATTGCCTTTTTTCTTCAATAAATTTTTGTAGTGTATATTTTGACTTCTATTACATACCTCTATGCTTATTGTTCTGATAGAAAGTGTGTGCTACCTATACGGACAGATGTAAGTAGTATGTATCAAGAGTCGGAAGTAGGATTTTTACTGACAACCTTTGAAATAATTTCAAGTTACTGATTCTGTACTGTTGTTCATCAATTACTGCTACCACTGCTATAACTTACTGGTAATAGAATAGATGGAATTTCCAACTGTAAAACAAGATGAACTAATTAGTTGGTTGACTAATGCTCTTATCAGAAATAATGGAGTTAGTTAATTCAAAAGAAAATGAATTAGTATAAAGGTGGTAATCTTAGTAAAATAGTTTTCCCCGCATAAAAAGTTCTTATTCATCATGTCATATGTGTTAACAGCTGTAATGATTGACTTCAATAGATTAAATGACAGCTACTATGGTATGTTTACAATTAGTTAATGACTGAGCATTGACCGATAGCATGGAGGTCAGGTCTTTCTCAACGCTGATCGAATTTTATCGATCAAGTTATGATGTAGCTACTAGTTTAAGTGACTCTACATGCACTATATTGGAATGTTAGAGGGACTTGGCATTCATGATACTGGTCAATGCTCAGTGACCAATCAATTGTAAGTATATCTCAGTCCTGCAGGAAGTTAGTCGTGATCCGAAGAGCTTAGTGGTGGTTTTCGACCGTGAAGCATAGTGTCAAGAAATCGAATTCTCCAGAAAGCACCAGTTTCTTCAAGATTGCAGATATACCTTGTTGACAAAATTCAAATAGTATAGGGTTTCCTGTTGACTATTGCCAACCATCATCTAACGATGATTTTTGCCATAGTTAGTTTTCAATTTTTAACTGAGTGAATTTTCGGTACAGATATGCTTTGTCATTGTCTTTTTTAATAACAAAGGGATTCTCCTATTTGAGATTTAAAAAGAAATTACAAACGAGGCGTTCTTAATGAACCCTATTTATTTTAGTCAGTCTTAGCTGGCTAATGTAATTAAATCTGTTCAATATTTGTTCTTAAGTTAATTATGCAACCTCGGTAGGTAACTTCTTGTTTATACTCCGAATGAATTTTGTATAAAATCTTCTATTTTTTCAGTTTTCCGTATATTATTCTAGTATCGAGACGTACTTATATAATTCATAAGATGACTGCTTGATTTTGAAGCCGTTTTTCAACCAATGAGCAGAGCCTATGTAAATCGATAGTATTATGTAATGAGACTTGCTAAAACTTCAGTAGTCTTTTAAAGTTTATTAACAGTTTTCCTATCTTAAGATTGGAAGGATTTCGCTGTCCCAATTTACTCACGCTAAAGAACTTTACGGATAGGTCGGTTCATATTGAGTTGGCAGAGAGTTATCATTATCGTAAACTCATTGATCATAAAGTCGCATGAGGTAGTCAACTTTGGTGAATGTCAATGGTTGTTATCAGTACAGATGACGACTGACTACAGGATCAAGAATAAGTTTTTAATGAAGCTAACTTGATTGAGGCCCAACTAACAGACACAAGATCTCAGTGAAGGCATATAATACCATATGAATATTGTGATACATAGGTGTTATTGTGGTCAGAATCACGACAGGGGGATCAAGGTAGGATCAGTGGACTCGTGCAACCGATGTTTGTTAAACTCTATATTTCAGTGGGGCCAAAGTTTCTACTAGTGACAATCAATTTCACTTCGTAAATTGAGACCATCAGCTATCGGAACGAGTCTGCTACTACTTTTGTTAACGTGATACAGTATTCTTGCAAACATCTCGAAAGATTTCCGAATCTCATGGCTTTCATATTCGGCATGATATTTCGAACTTAATAAGAGAGTATTTAGCATTCTCACTAATTACGGTTTTGAACTAATGGGATACAACGGTTGAATGAAAATATTTTTCGTTTCTGCTTGTAATATCACTATAATGCTAGAGTACGACCTAGGTTTCATGCTAGTTGGCACTTGTTTATCATTTTGATCAACATAGCAAACAAATTTCCGGAGAAATTCTTAATCAAATTAAATATATTATCGATTCCAGAGTAACTTCATTCTGCATACTATTTTGTTGGATTGTAATCATTTGAATAAAATTAAATAAATAACGTTAGGAATAATAAGAGCATCCAATGTGAGAATAGGAAAGGTATATTTAATTTCTTTGTACAAAAGATTAAGGATGAAAGTTAGGGTTCCACTTAAAGGAGCACAAAAGAAAGACGATTTGGAGTTTTGTTTTTACTAGCCATCTTCAAGAAATTTTTCCAGGGCATCATCATCTGTAGGTAGTATAATTATATTTTCATTAGATATTGACAAATCTTTATCGTTTTTTAAGTTCGTACGAAGTACACTTTCCTGCTATAGGGAAATCGGAACAAAATTACAAAAAAATTTCAATCACACTAATGAATGTTAAAAATGTAACTCATTTATCAAATACGAGTTTATGTAATCGACTTTAATCCACGCTTTTCTGAATGTAGATTCGAACCAGGAACCTATATAGCCCTAAACACTAAACCACTAATCAAGAAGAACATAAGATAAAAAAAGGTCAGTTAAACATAATTTTATAACGTGGTGATCGACAGCTTTGAGATTGTCAAGTTAACCACTATTATGATGATAATTAACTGTATCAATCATTCACTGAGTATGAATGACCAATGTTGTGTTATGTTCAGACTTCATTAATGATTAAATCCTGTCAGTGGCTTAAATAGTTGGTACTTAGTGATAACTGAAACATAAGATGATGCGGGGTTCGAAGTCTAAGAAGGTATCAGTTCAGTCAGTGATAGTGCACGAAAACTTTGCTGATGGATATTAACAAGTGAGATACATACGTTAAAGTTGTTTCCCTCCAACGATATAGCTCAGTAAAATGATTGTAGTATTTTTCATAACGGATTACAATAATGTTTCAAATTTCAGTGGAGCGGAGATGATCACATTAATAAGTATGAATGTCAAATAATGTATGGAATGCAAATCATGTACCAAGTGAGTATTAGGTAATACTATAATTCTCAATACCAAAGAATATATACAAGTCATGATAAGGATTAGATAATGTTTCCTAAAGCTTTATTAAAACATTTGAATAATTATTATCTATTCTCGCTATTACATATTATTAGCTTGATATTCCATGTAAGAAATATATATATATATATCTTCAGTAAAAATTCACAAGTCACGGCGGCCTGCTTGAATATCTGGGCTACCTGTTCCTCCGATCTAGATATCTCACCAAGTTATCTGTTTTGTTGTTTGTTTTAGCACATCATTATGTCTATTGTGCGCACAATTTATTCAGGCGCGTTTATGAAAAGTTTACAACCTTTCGCTATACGTGATACAAAAAGGTACAATCAGCGACATCATGGTGGCTGGCAATATGCATTGAAACGAATGAACATTAATCAAATGTGGATTACCGAACTCCTAACATCTAACCGGTCATCATTCAAAATTTATCGTCACAATAGATCAAGGTATAAGAAAAGGAAACTTGTTGAAATACTTTATGCTGAGAATTCTATGTTGTACCAAAACTATAATGTTGAATAAAGCTTCTAATAATAATAATAAAATAATAAAATAAAAGTGTATCTATCTGTATATGTGACCAAGTTTAATTTTATTTGTTCGTTAAAGTACACCAATATATGATCAAAAATCTTTTTGCGAAATTATAAATTGCATAACAATCGACAACAGGAAAATTACACTAAATTTAGAGAATAGGAAAAAAACTGGAACAGTTGAATACTTCCAGTTATCTTAAGTATTTGATCATTGATTTCAGTTAATCGATTAGCAGTTAAGAACACTTAAACAGAAAAATGTTGAGTTTAGATAGTAATCTAATGATGATGACGACAGTAATATCAAAATATGGATTTATTCAGGTACATATGGAAATAAACTTACTTCGTCTGTGTTTTTATTTTGTCTAGACTCAGATTTTCTCAGTTGTCCTAGTGATTTATAAGGAAGAAAAGGAAAAATAAATAAATAGCATAGGAAAAAGATAAAATTTAACCAAATAAATTTAAGGACAGTAAGGTTTAGAAGTGAATAAAATCGATAAATAATCATCATCAATTAGATGCGTATGTTGGGACTACCAAATGAGCAATATTGAGGTCAGATGTAGAGTACTAGGCGAAGATGGTAGACCATCTGGACGCACGAAGTTTTTCGGTGTAGGAATAGGTTGGCAGGAAACTAAAAACAACCAAATCAAGACGTTGGATCAGTTCATGAGTTTGTCTCCATTAATCTGAAGCCTGTTGGTAGGTGTAAAGTCAATTATCATGGCCAATGGTTACAGATGTTGGGTAATACGACTCAAAATCAGTCACAAAAGCGTAGATTTATTCACTCCTTGTTTTACCTTATATCTTGAGTTTCAACTTTATTATATACAATCCATTTAGTGAATTCATTCTGCCCTTTTCAAGTAGTATCTTCTATGCTTGATCTTTTTTACAATCGCTTATACTAGTTCTTCTACATCGACACTCATCTTGATTATTTCATCTTGCCGTTCTGATATGTTGTGGGAACTTGAGCCGATGGATATATGTGCCGGCTTATACGCTATGACTGATTAACCAGCAAATATAGTAAAGTAAGTAATGAGTATATGTAGTATTAACATGTTATTATGATCAATGAGAAAAGAAACACTTGGAGATAATAAATATCTAATTAGATTTTTCATATAATTGTTACGTAAAAATGAAAAAGAATTTTGCGTTCTATTTTGTGATGGGAACCTGAACTTGTAACAGATATAAGTAGCGAAAAAAGAATTAATGTTTGAACTATATTTATTGTCTTTGTAAAACGGTTATCCACCACGGGCAATGGGAGCTGATCACGTCGATTGATCGGAGTTAGACATGAACACCACTGGATGAAAAATCAGTGGTTCAGAGGTTAAGTGCTCGACTTGAGACTGAAGATCCTGGGTTGATACAATAAAGACTTGACTCGAAAGTCTTATCACATGCTATGAAACTAAATTAATTCATGTTGAGGAAAAGAAATACTCAGATTATACCATCTTTCACGTACAACAACCGAGTTTTAAGAAAAGAAAATCATCACGGACTGAATATTATCAATTGCAATAACCATGGTCCTTCCAGTCTGGCCTAGATTGTCTGGACATTCTATATACTTATATTAGTTGTTGATTTGGTTGCTTGTGACGTTCGCAGAATTTCGACTTTCACAATAAGGCGTCATAACTCTTCTATATGAAACCCCTTCGACTCCCAGTGGAGCGTTCAAATGGTTCAAATGATGCTTTCTGGCTGGCGTTTTTAGCAAGGTTAATTTTTTACAGGATGGGGTTGTTAACCTCATGCCCAACCTTCCTTCTTTATGAAGGCTCGAGACCGTCAGTAGCTCTATAAAGGCTACTTTATACATATGTGATTTATTTCGAACCAAGAAGTCTTCAGAAGCAACCACAACAACAAAGCCAGTTGAAATCACCGGTGTATATACATAATTATTGTCAAATACCATACACATACATAAACAAGGCTAATCTGACTTTTAAAAAGTAAACATGTATAACAAGAAAATAAAAGGTGTAATTTACGAATATATAAAACTGACCAGAATTTTTCATCGTGCCATCTACAATTTTTAATTCGGAGCTATTGAACTGATTTGAATGATCCAAATTAACTTTTTTCTCATGAAAGTGATACTGTGTAATCGACAATTTGAAGAATGATGTCGACAAAAAAAGAGAGTTCAAAAAAATGGCTTGATCAAAGTGAATATAAGTGAGAAAAGTAGGGGAAATACATGGAAGCATTTTATTTTTCTTTAAATAAATTACGATATTAATTTAATCACAAAAAAGAAGAGATAAACGGTGATATAAATATTATGATAGCTAAGAATGACAACATTTCAAACACTCATAATTATAGAAAAGACGAAGGTTAAGTGTGGACGAAACTATCTGCGTGATACACGTTCAGAACACCAGTGCCAGCATCAGTTTCATCAAAATTACAGGTACTGTTTGTTGATAAATCCCAACTAATGTGGAGTTTAGATCAAAGATGTCCTTTCTAAACGTTACTTTTACAGTTTTAACATCAAAAACATGGTGTATGCAATGTCTAACCGTATTGCTACATTGTGACTCGATTGACTTAATTCGACAGAAGTACTAAGGAGTAACGATAATATTATATTGGCTACTAAAAATAGTGGCTAGTTAGTGTGACAGCCCGCTCAGCTAAATGATTGGTTGACTGACTCATTCATCACAGAATTCGATAAAATATGTTGTCACGCATCGTATCATCACACATAAAGGATAATAAATAATTCAAAGTTTAATTAGGTAAAAATAATATCAGCGCAATTGAATAAAAGTTGAAAATATGTATGCAGTGGAAATATCAATTGAATAGATTCCACGGAAACAAATGACTAAATGTGACAACAGTTAGCAAAGCAGATCATCAAGCAAACAAACGCTAAACGATGTCTGAAAATGATTTAGTTCTAATAAATTAATGAGAGTAGAAGTGGTGACTTAATACTAAGACATTTGGCTTTCAATCACCAAGTCGAGGGTTCGAACCCCGTTCTATCCGTTTCAGGCTGTGTAACCAAGTAGTTCAACAGCCCTCACACTTAGAGTGTGGTTCGAAGCCGAGTACAATAATTTGAACATTATTTAGCTCTTTCGATAAAGAATTATGTCCATGAATCATTCTAGCCTTACACATAGCATTTCACTGTGCCTGATTCGTTTTGGGCATCCGGGCGGTATCACAGCCCTCACACAAATCAAATGAGATTTGTGTGGCGCATATTTATTTGGTGCCTCTTTGTACCAATATCTATGTGTTCAAATAAATAAAAATAAAATAACTGTGTCTATCGATAATAATCAATATGTAATGTAAGTATGATACTAATCAATATCGTTCTGTCTATTTCATTAGCACTAATTGGAATGCATTAATTTAGTCTAAATTTTTAAAAAAGTTGGTTACTAAACCAAACGTTGAATACATGAAGGAGATAGACAGAAAACTTTTATCATAAAACACCGTTTTCATACTTGTTCTAAGCGTAACTTCAACTGTAATTCATCCATTATTTCATGGGATAATTTTTTATTACTTTCGAAATGTAAATTATCATCATTAATATTAAAAACATTATTGTCATTATCACTACTCGGAGTAAACGTTGCATACGATCCCGTAGGTGATTCTGAATGATTATTATTAGTAATACTAATAGTATTGTTATTAAGATAATATATTTCATTATCAGCAGGATCAATTTCTTCACTGAATGCTATCACCATTGGATTCTGTTTCAACCTTGAGACAAAAGTAATACGTATGTATATACAAATAAGTTATACAGAATAAACAACTGGTAAATCTTTGAAAACAAATAAAACGTAGTGCGCAATTTGATTAGTATAACATATGTAAAATTGGGTTGTTTGACTGCTTTTTTTTCTTTCTAATTGTTGGTTAATTATTTGTTCTTATTATGGATAGATAGAGACAAGCATCATCAACATTGGGAGTAGAACAGAACAGTTTCCATATCATTGGATTAGCACAACAAGACGAATATCATAAAAGAGATTGAAATGGTGTAGTCGCAATAATAAGAAAAACTAAACCTTTGGAATATGGTTTGAAAGGACAAGGTAGAAAGGTATTTATGAACGGTTTACTGGAATTCGCGACAAAGAGGAAGAAACATTTGTGAACAAGTCTGAGCCATGTCATATAAAGTATTCAACCGCTGCTAGCCGTTCATCAGAAGTTATATCAATTTAAAGCTGACCGATTAAATATAACCAGGAGGAGAATCAAGAAGTAAGTTTTCAGCATACCGATACTAGTCAACAAGTGGTATTTCAAACTTTAAGGAGGCGATAAATGAAAATTTAGATCCATCAGACCTATACAATCCTTAAGTTGAAATAAGCTAGTTGGTCGGACGTGAATCATTTTACTTATTAGTCGTGAATGAGTATGACGATAAGTAGAGTTACAGAAGTATAGGTTAAAAGTTTTAATGTTTAACTTTTGTTCTTTCATTGTTATCTGATACTTGTTAGAACATTTTGTATGTCTTGATGATAGTTTTATTGATTTTATAAGTAAGCTATTAGTTCGGTCACTTTAATAGTTATTTATGTGTTATGACTTTAAGTTGAGTCGATTTTTACCCTGTGCTGATTGTTGTGTCCCTGACTGGAAAATTAGAGAGCAGCGTACTTATCGATCGATTACAGTGACACGTAAACACGAACAGACGGCCTAGAGTCTCGATTTATCCCACTTCCCTGTCTAGCCCAGTCAGTTGAGTCCAGAACACAAGTCACAACCTCTGAGATATGAATCATTATATTCCAAACATACTTTGTTTATATACCAATCAAGCATACCACATCGTACCATAAAATAGAAAACAACATTTTGTACAATATTCAACAAGTGAACAGATATCGACTAATAGGAAATGTCCATTTAAAGTCCAAGGACACCATTGGACTTAACATGATAACTATTGGTCTATTCCTCCGCATCCACAACAATGTCTCCGAATAACTACCTATACAGGT